TCAGTTGAGTGCATAAAAAACAATGTTTGAAACACTTCTCATTCTCTTCAGTTTTCATTCTTTTCAGTTGCTTTTAGTGGTGCAGAAAATTGTTTCTTTAGCAACAGTGCTCCTTTATCAACCAATAATAATGCAAAGGAGTTAAATGAGGGTTCACAGAACTGAAATTTCACAGAATTGAAAGGCAGAGAAACATCTGAATTGAGATTAAGAAGTTTTCTAAATTGTGATAGCACCTGCAATGTTTACATTTACTTTAATTTATTTAGCTGTAAAAGGCATGATCTTAAAGTATTTATCGTGTAAATGTTTTCTCATGGCCTGTTCTGTTCTTACAGAAGCATACTCATTTTTCATACTTAACTATAAAACAGCATGATCTTTTCCTCCTAAAGGTAAACCTTAGGCTATCTAATAGCTAGGTATATAAGTGAAGTGCAGGGTCTTGTTGCGAGCAGAGTTGCCTTGACAAAGAGGCAAGTAGAATACACCAGAAAATACAGATATTTCAGCATTAAGTAACCTTTATCAAAATTTAGAAGCAAATTATAATTTGCATGTGACTTAGATTCAGAGATAAGACAATAACCATGAAGGGAGGAGGAGTCTTACCTTGAACACTAAATACAGAGTAATTCAAATGAAAGAATCCTGTAGTTTATGCAGTGCCACAAAAAATAGTTTTAAACAATTTGGAGGGAACATCTCAGAAAAGGAAAATATCTGATTAAATGGATAATTAGGGTGCAGGTTTAAAAAGATTAGGTGTACTGGTCAGAACACACAGCAAATCAGAGAAGGATGAGAGTAATTAACTTTTTATTGCAGTTGTTATTCTAGCCTAGGAGTTGGTAAACTCTTTCTCCGAAAAGTCGGATAGAGAGTAAATATTACAGGCTTTGTGAGCCACAAGATCTTGTGTTACAACTACTTAACTCTGCTGCAGTAGCCTGAAAACAGCCATAGACATGTATGTATATAAATGATTATGTCTATGTTCCACTAACAATAGGCAGAAAGCTGGATTTGGTCTATTGGGTGGAATTTTCTCACCCCTGTTCCATCCAACAGGAGACACAATAAGGCAGAAATTACAAATGTCTAAGTAGTTTGACACACTTATCAGTCTAACAGAAAGTTCTGTGCCAATCCTACACTTTAATGTTTAGAAATGTGTTCCATATACATATCATACTTTTAATGATATATAAAGTAAGTAATTGCTTTTAATTTCCTATATTAAGTGAATAATTAGGGAGTTCTTCAAAATTTCATGAGACAGTTTCTTCCTTTACACAGTGAGACATTTAAGTTCCTGACTTGAACAGAACAAGGTTTGTAGGTGGTAGGGGCAGGCTCTGAGTCAGGGTATCTAGGAATGGACCTGGTGCATGTGCTTAGTTTCATTTGAATTTTCCTATCATGGTTTTGAGGATGCAACCCATGGTAAGTGGTATGACAGTCTTAGTTGTCTAAATGCAAAGAGTTCTTGCTTAATGAAATCAACACATACTAGGGTTTCTATAAAATGAACTGTTTTCTCCTTAAAAATTTTTTTTTGATAAAGCAGAAACATATTTTCATGGAACATATTTAGCAAATTGACTTAATACATTTTGGTAAGACAAGGTTAAGACATTAGCTATTCCTACGGAATGCTGAGCACTGTACCCCATCACCTAGCAAGTTCACTTTTTGTGTGAAAATCTTAGCACAAATCTCCCACAGATGATCTTGCCTTTCCTTTAAAATGTCATGTCTGATATTTGAAAGAGTTCAGAGAAATTAAAAAAAATTACTGACCTCTCAATGTTTCCATACCATAAGTAAAAAAAGGACTATATTTAGTTTTTTTTTCCTTCTTCCCTTGCTCAAGGATGTGTCACACTGATGTGATGTATGATGTAGTTTAGGTGTTGTATTATAAGATTCTTTTAAACTAACTATCCTCTGTATGCCTGTTGATGTCTACAAAATCAGGGTTGGAATGCCTCTATTTTCTTAAGAAACAACCTTTTTCAGTAGCCAGGAGAAATTTTGATGGTTTCTGTGTCAGTGTCAAGGACCTGATTATCTAAGGATTTGTTTCAAGGAACTGGGCTCCTACAATGAAGACCAAATATATTCTACATCATTGGCTCTGGAAGATAAGACAAAACTGGAAGGACTTACAAGACATATTATATTAGATAAATATCAGTGTTAGGTTTGATTATGCCATATAAGTTTATTATTCTAGAACATTAGAAAGATAGCTGCCTTACAGTGTGCACTTAATTTTTCTCAAAGGTAATCCATCATGTTTTTCATAAACACTCACTGATATTTTTCTTTATGTTCATTAGTGTTAGCTGCATTGCCCAATTTAGTTTAATACTGACTTTTTAATATTGTTTCTTACTCATTTCTTCAAGACATTAAATTCAATATATTATTCTCTTTACTCTTCAATATTTTATTTTCTTTCAATTTTGGTTTCTTCTTAAAACTGCAAGACATTTTTTCCCTTTGTAAAGGATGGTAAAAAGACATATCTCTGGGAACCCAAGTAAGGGAAGTTTCCCTTTATATTAGGGAAACTAATAAGAGTACATTTCTCTTGTGAATAAGTTGTGGTTTATTTTGCAACTGTTCAAACTTAACAATGAACATGTGATCGTGGTAAAGAGACAGTATAGTAAATTGATCAGTGTAGGACTATCAGAAAACAAACCAAATTTTAGGAAAAGCTCATTTATTCATACATCAAATATGTATTGTGTCAGGCACTGTGTTAGGAAGTAAGGACAGAATAATAAACAAGACACAGCCTTTCCTCTTCAAGGACTTAGGACAGAAAACTCACTACATGACTGAAGTGGTAAGCAGTAGGACTAACTAAGCACAGGCTGCTGAGAAACAATAGAAGATGTGTCCAATCCTACGTCAAAGGGGAGCCAGCAAAGGATTCTCAGAGGAGATATGGTCTAAGAGCTGACCTGAAGGTCACATGGAGGACTCTGAGAAGCTGGAGAAGAGGAGGCTGCAGGTAGAGGAATAACACGCAAGAGGCTGGAGATGAGAGAGCATGGAGGACATAGTAGTTCAGTGCGGCTGACAGCGAGCTGGGAGAGGGTGTGAGCAAGGACAGCAAGGGGTAAACAGAGGCTCTAACTCAATAAACTAGATTAGACCCATTGCTCAAGGGCAGAGGGCAGCCACTGAAGGTTCGTATTTTACAAAGATCGCTGAGGTTGCTTTCTGAAGGATGGCTCAGATAACTGTAGTCAGGTGAAAAATGATGATAGAAAGTAGCAGGACACAGAGAAGGGGCAGTTAAGGGGAGAGAACAGTAATCTAGTAGATGTGGGGGTGAGGGAAAGGAAAAAGTAACTGGATAGGGAACATGAGTAGTTTACTGGGGGGACACACTCGATTTTAGTTTTGAGGTCCTGGTAAGACACTCAGATATAAAGGTCTGAAACTCAGGAGGGACAGATGGTAAATTTGGGAGTAATCAGTGTCACAAATAGCAAAGAAAAAAAAAAAAAAAGAAAAGCCAGGGGAGAGACTGAAATACTTGGAGTGCATATAGAGTGAAAAGAAAACTTGGAATGGAATCCTGAGATGCAGCAACCTGTAAAGGATGAGCAGAGGGCAAGTCCACAAAGGAAGCTGGGAGAGTGGCCAGGGACATAGGAGAGGATCCAGGAAGGGAGAGTGTAAAGGAAGCCAGGAAAGGGAGTGTTCCTGGAAGAAGTGATCAGCAGAATCAAGTGCACTTTCAGTGGTGTAAGGCCAAGGACTAGACTGCACAGTGGGTTAAAGATATGGAAGTAAACAACTGGAGAGATCCAACTGTAGAGAACTCAAGAAGTCTGGCTAGGAAGGAAAAACAGGGATTAGGCAGTGACTGGAGAGGAGGTGGGGTTTTGGAGGTAGTACCTGTATATGTGTTTATAGATAAGGGAGATTTAGGCACTCTTAAATGCTGATTCCCTGGCACCAACAAGGATGGAGTTGACTACATGGGCCAGACAGAATAAGCAACTGAATGAGGTCCCTGAGATGTATGTAGGACCCTCAGCATAGTTAGAGCATTAATTTTTAGTCACGAGAAAAAGGAAGAGGGATGAGTGTGGATGAAGGGATGACATTTTCGTGCTACAGAAGTCAACTGACAAATTGTTAAACACAAAGTCCTGCGCTAGGTTCTCTAAGACACTGACAAACAAACTGATACTATCTGCCTTCATGGAGCTATTTAAAAGGAACATGCACAGACTCTCTGTATACAGAGTATTAAAGGGACATTTCTAAACTCCTCTGCTGTTCAACTGGGAAAGAACTCATCTGCTTGCTTCTAGACTCATAATCTATAAAGTGGGAAAAGGCACCACTAGGCTTCGGTAAAAAGAATGACCAAGTGACAGGGAAAGAAGCTATGATCTCTACTAACATAGAGGAAGGCCAAAATACTGAGAATAAAAAATTCAAAATATTAATTGAATATTGAAAGAAAAAAGTTAGGAAATAGGAATATATTCTTTTGATTCACAGATGCTTATGGTAGCTTTCACTAAAAATACTGATATCTTCCATATCCATATTTCATAAATTTTGTAATATCTATTAAAAAAGATCTATATGACAAGAAAAGGTCAAGAAGAAGTCAAGGAGATCTCTGAATGGGACTATTCTGAAGGCAGGCAGAGTACCAGTGTTTCTCAGATATTTGGAACTCACTGTCCTTATTAATAAAGGGATATTATGGATCCAGGGGAAAAAACATTAACATTGACAAATAATAGCAGATACACTTTTTGAATATTTATTGTATATTAGGCCTCTCTTGTGATTTATCTATATTAATTCCTCTATTCTTAACAAAAACTTATGTGGGAGTGTAGTAAGCAGAATAATTATCCCCTAAAGAGGTTCATATCCTAATTCCCAGAACCTGCTAAATATAATGCTGCAAGTGGACTTTGCAGATGTGATTAAGGGTTTTTTTTCCTCTTAAAAATATGGAATGCTTGCTGAATTTGCATGTCATCCTCATGCAGGGGCCATGGTAATCTTCTCTGTATTGTTCCAATTTTAGTATATTTGCTGCTGAAGCAAGCACATGATTAAGGATCTTGAGATGGGGAGATTACTTTGGATTATCCAGGTGGGCTCAATGTAATCACAAGGGTTCTTATAAGTGAAAGAAGAAGGCTAGATGGGTTAGGGTCAGGAATTTGAAGATGCTACACTGTTGGATCTGGAGAGGGAGCAAGGGGCCATGAGCCAAGGAATGTAGGAGACCTCAAGAAGTTCATGAAAGGTAAGGGAATGGATTCTCCCCAAAGCCTCCAGAAAGAATGGAGCCCTGCTGATGCCTTGATTTTAGCTCAGTGTCAACCACATATGGGGTTCTGACCTCAACTGTACAAGAATAAATTTGTGTTGTTTTAAGCCACTAAGTTTATGGTAATTTGTTAGCAGCAAGAGAAAACTAACATAAATGGGTACTATTAGTTTCCCTGTTATATACATGTGGACAAAGAGACCTGACAGGAGTTAAATAATTTTCCCAAAGTTACGTGGATAGTTGAAGAAATTCTCACTTTATCTTCTTATTTGCTCTTTGAGGTAGGAGACAAGGTCAGTTACTGAGGACTGGAAGTTGGGGTTGGATGTAAAGGAAACTGGAAAATATCTAAAGTAGTTCTTATGAAAAATAAGAATTTCCAGTCTCATATGTAAATTCCTTATCTCACACTAAAGTATTTACAGAATATAAGATATGACGAATTTGCCTTAAAATTATCTAAGGGAGGCTGTGAGGGGAGTAAGTAGTGGATGGGGGTATAGGTGAAATAAGACTGAGTATGCGGGGGTAGTGTTCCAGCTGGACGGTAGTATGGGCACAGGGAGTTTTATACTACTGTATATTTTTAACCATATTTAAAAATTTTCAAAAAAAGTTAAAAACACAATTCAAGGTAAAGAGCAAAAAATGTCACAGAGGAAGATATACTTTAAAAGCCATGAAGTAACAAAACAAAAACAACTTTTAAAATAAAGCAACACTGACTGACAGAGAACCTATCAGTGGTGTCTGAGGAAGAGCTGGGTAGGGAAGGAGGGCCAGGGAAGGTGGGAAGGAGGGACAGCCGAGGGGCACGAAAAACTGTTGGATGTGATATACTCATTATTTTGATATTAGTTGTTGATCATCTCTGTGTATCCATAAAAAGATATATTGCATATATACATATATATTATACATGTCATAACATCAAATCAAATATATCAAATGTGTACAGTTTTATTGCATGTAAATTATACTGCAATAAAGCTATAAGAAATAAACAAACAAAATAAAGCAATACTGATAAAAATTCAAGGAGAGCTTCTGGTTTCTGGTCCGACATGTAAAAAGCTTGGAAGTTGTTATTCCTGTACTCATAGCAAAAAAAGCTGAAGAAACTGAAAATCAACTCTATTTAGATGCATCAGAGAACTGAGGTCACAGGGCAAACTGTTACCCTGAAAACTGAGAGAGGCAGACACAGAGAATCACAGCTTACTGGGAGCAGAAGTCTAGAAGCAGAAGACTGAAATTGGAGCCAGTACTGGTAGGAACACTTAAACTGTGATTGAAAAATTGCTGAAGAATCAGTTAAAACAGTTTGAGAGTTCAAAACTCTGGGGGAGACAGGGAGGCAGTCTTAGAGGAACCCCACACTTCTGTAACTTTTACCTCCAGGAGTTCATCAAATTCTCAAGGGGAAGTTTGGGGGAAAAACCCCTCATGCTTCTAGCACAGAGAGGGGCAAGAAAACATTTAAAAATATGCCCAGAGCTCTCTCCTCCTTAATGATAGCTTGCCCTTAAGGGAAACTATTTTACCAGAGCTCAAGTAATTTGGGTTTTACTAAAGCCTAACCCGGGGGAAAGGAAATAACTAACTTCAGCCTCCTCTAGCTTTCCTGTTTAACCTGCAGGGGAGGGGAAGCTGAGAAGCACCTGTGCAAGTCTCAGCCCAGGGATACAGGCTCACTAAGACTGAGACTTAATCACAGAGTTATAGGATGCTTCTCCTACTGTAGTGCTATACTTCACAACCACATCAATTGGGCTCCTGTTTAATAATGAGATTACAGTAAACAGAACTGCAAACTTCAGACCCATTTAAGAGGGTGTCTGTAGGGTGACATAAAGACAACAGAGGAGATAAAAAAGACACTAGAGGAAAATTTTGCCTTTGACAGCACAGCTACTGCAAACAGTAACACGGTCTATTTCCTAGCCAGATAAACATAAAACCTCATAATAAAGGCTTATCTACCAGTTTCTTTCATCCAATACATCATGTCTGGCTCTCAACAAAAAATTTCAAGGCATGCTAGCAGGCAGAAAACAAAGTTTGAATAGACAAAGCAAGCATCAGAACCAAATTCAGATATGGCATGGATGCTGGAATTATCAGACCAGAAATTTAAAATCATTATGATTAACAAGATAAAGGCTCTAATGGAAAAAAGGAGACAGCATGCAAGAAAAGATTGTTAATTTAGGCAGAGAGATGGAAACTCTAAGCAAAATCAAAAGGAAGTGGTAGAAATAAAAAATACTGCAACAGAAATAAAGAATGCCTCTGATGAGCTCATCAGCAGATTAGACACAGCCGAGGAAAGGATCAGTGAACTTGAAGATATAACAACAGAAACCTCCAAAACTGAAGTCCAAAGAGGGAAACTGATGAAAAGACGGAACAGAGTATCCAAGAACTCTGGGAAAATTATCAAGGTGTAACATGTGTTGTGGGACTACCAGAAGGAAAAGGAGGAGAGAAAAGAACAGAAGAAGGATCTGAACTTCAAAGAAAGTAATGAATGAATGGGAGGCAGAGGATGAATAAATGGATGAATGGGAGGCACTCGCAGAAAAGCCCAAAGGTGCTGGGCTGTTAGAGTAGTCATTCTAAGAACAGCTCTGCACGCTGGACTTTACTTATGTGACTTTCTAAATGGTTCCGTTCTCCATATAATAGAAGTGGGTGTTAGTTTAGGATAAGGAGCATTAGTGACCTTAGAAGTATAACCTGCCCTAATCAAACAGCCTTTCCTATCAAAATTTCTGCTAAAATTTGTGGGTAAAAAAAATGGGCTCAATTTCAACTTTTTAAAGTTCTTTGATTGACCATGTAATGAAAGAGCCATACAGTGGGGATATGGTCAATAAGAAAAGAAGAGGAACAAAGGGTCTGAATATTTCACAAATTGGTTAGACAATACCTGAATAAACAAGTCTGATTAATTGGGGGCTAATCTTGCATTTAATTAAAAAATAGACTTTATTTTTATAGTTTTTGATTCACAGTAAAAATTAGGTGGGAAGTACAGATTTCCCACATACCCTCTGCACTTCCCCTCCTCAAAGCCTCCCCCACTGTACACCTACATTTTTATAATGATATGGAAGCAGATACGTTTGACCAGGTACTCATATCATTCACAGTGGATGTTGTGACACAGTGTCCAGACCTTCCCTTCAGGACTGAGGCAGTATTCCCTGAGCTGTTCCAAGTGTTGGCTGCTAACAACTCACAGCTGAGTTCTTACCTAGAAATTCTTACCTAGAAATTTTCTTAACCAAAGGGAGCTGGCTTGTACAAATTATAACCCCTTCCTAGAGACTGCCTGCATGCTATATCTGGTTCATGCAGGACCATCTTAGAAAAACCATCCTAGCTCCACAGCTCATACACCAACTTCTCCTTCAGCCAGTCCTGCTTTCCTAACTACTCCAGAGATGTTGCTCTCAAGAAGAGTCTACATTAAACCTTTCCATGCAAATCTCTGGGTCAGGGTCTGCTTCCACATGTCTTAAATATGGGAAGTTTCCCAATCATACATAAAACATTGATAATGAAGTAGTGCTTTAAAGGGTTATTAAAAATATGAAACTCTAATCAGAACATCTAGTTCTGTGTTTTAGTTTCATTAATTAATGGCTCTATGATTTTGGATAACATTTCTCTGAGCCTTAAGTTTCCTCACCTTTAAATAAGGCATATAATTCCTTATGAAACATGGGTTTTTATGAGGACCCAAACAGGGATATACCAACACACGTGCATGCATTCATGCTCATGCTTTTAAATATAATGTAATATTCTTATTACAATTTACATGAACTGGAAATTTCAAAAACTAAGCCTAATTATTTTCACATTTTGTTATTTCATGGAAATATTCCATTATACAGCAAGTCAGTATTAAGATTTTACCCCCCAAAATTCATTTATTGTCTACTACATGCCTGACCCTGTGCTATGAACCAGGTATACAAAGACAGCATGGTTCTTGGCCTCAAGGGATTGCAGTCTAGTGTGGAGAGGCATTAAATACAAACAGAGTGTGATCAAGTATTATATATGCCAAAATGGCAGTAATATGCCCAGAAATAATGGGAGGTGTGGTCAATTTTCCAAAAAAATTCAGAAAAGTCTTCATAAAGGAAGTGAACCTTAGGTAAGAAATTTTTCAGTAAAGGTACTTTATTCCCAGTAAACTTTACTTGAGCACTGAAGGATACTTTAATCACTTCTAAAAATAACAACAATTTGATTTAACCTATAACAACTATTTTGTGTGCATCTATTTATCATGCAGAGAATTTTCACAGAAATATTTACAACTGAGAATTAAGGTTACTTACCGTTATCTTACGAGGGCAGTCATTAGAACAGAAACCACTAAGAACTGTGGAAAAATTAAAAAAAAAACTATTATTACTGTTAGAATGTAAACTTACATTTAAAGTAAGCTCTAATTTTTCCCCTAAAATCTATTATGCCCGACTGATTCATGATCATAAGTAGAAACCAATTCAATTTCTTTAGATCTGAGGAAACTAAATTTCTGTTGTTCACTTTATGCCAACACATCTAAAGCCTTTATTAAGCAGTCAAGATGGTGCCATTTTGTGAAACACATAGGTGAGATAATTAATCATGGTCATATCATACCTACTGTTGGCAGTAGGTTCTACTTTATATCTGGTTAGCTAAATTCCCAGGATGACTCAGGATCTGACAGAGAAGTGCCAAATGCAAACCAATTAAAATG